CACAATGCCTCTTCTGGGCATGTACTGCGCTCAGTGCAGGGGCAAGCTGAGCTTGAAGTAAAGCGCTGTTTTGGGGGGTTTTCCCCACGTCTGTAAGCAGCCACTGTGTCTGAGCTAAAGCCGGCTGCCTTCCCTGCTTCCCATAACCTGCACGGCAGGAGGCGGGGAAGGCAGCCAGCTCTTGGCTTTCCCCAGTAGCACAGAGCTGCATGTGCACTGCGTGGAGCCTGGCATGAGAGGCAGCCAGCAGGGCTGCACTCCTCACTTCCATTGTGCGGTACTGGCTGGAGCCACGCCTGGGCGTGCATGGGCCACAAGTGCCCTAAGGGCTGCTGCTGCTGGTGACAGGAGGTGTGCACCCACACTCCCCACTCTGTCACACCCACACCCATCCCACCTGAGCTCTGCACTCCTGCCCAGCTGCAGTCCACCCCACCCCCAGCACCTACCCTCTCCCTACCTGGTGCATGGAGCAGGCCAGAGGCACGCAGGTCCCTGGGGTGGCAGCAGCCCCACCTGGAAGCTGCATACTGGCCAGGCCTGGCCCTTCTGCGACCCCATCTTGTTTCTATAACCATGACCCACAGTTTTGGAACCACTGTATTACAGAAAAGCCCAAAATAAGTAATCTCTAAATTTAAAAAAACCCAAAAAACACAACTCGTGACTCTAAAAAAATCAAAGCAACTTTTTTGGAGAAAAAAGCCCAATTCCACTTATTATAAGCAAATTTGGCAACACTGGCTCAGAGCTACCACTAGGAAGCAGACACTATGATGGCAAGGCGAAGGGAAGGTCCCCAACATAGCTCAGGGCCCTAGGCATGTGCCGAGTTTGCCTATGCATTAATCTGGCCCTGCCCATTCCAGTTCAGGCTGGGCAAACCCCAGCCCACAGCTCCCTCCCCTTCCTTCTTCTCCTCCCATCCTACAGACTTCACCAGGGGTGGAGCAGGGCTGAGCTGCATCAGCCCAGCCCTGCTTGTGCATAGGAGCTTACAGAAGTTTATGAAGGTGCTCTGCTTTGGAGTGAACACCTTCATCTGAACCATCATGTAATGAGGATTAATTTGTTGTGCAATCAGGCACTTCTAAAGTGCTCTGCAACCATGCACTTCTGTCAGGGCATGGCTATAGAGTGCTTTCAAGGGGCCATTCATACAGCAAATGCTACTTCTGTCAGCACCCAAAGGGTCTGCAGGGGTTGCCTGCTGCTCTACAAATGGTTTATTTCGTTCTTTTCGTTCACTGTATGTCTGTGTTTATTGAACCCAGTGATCACTACCTCATCCACAAGCCTTGTTGATGATTCTTTCTTTTTCAGTTACACACACACACACACACACACACACACACACACACACACACACAGAGTAATGAGAAATTCCTTTAAAGTTCCCATTGTTTAAAGCTCATCCCACAAAATGTTGGCCCTCTACATATTGTCTTGTTCAGGTACTTTGTTCTCTAAGATCGTCTATCTTAGCTTTGCAAATCACATTTAACTTCAACAGGGAAAAAAATGTAAGGCCATTGAGGGAAAAAGATAAGCTATTAACTGAAGGCACATGCACAAGCATAAAAAACTGCTGGTCTAACTTTGTGGTTTAACTTTTCATAAAGCAGAAACCACTGACAAAGCAAACATGGCATAATGGAAGTAATTAAAGTTTGTACTAATTCTTTTTTATTATTATTACTATAAAAGAAGGCGGTTCATTAAATAAGGACCAAGTGTATAGTGTAATGAAACCTTTTTAGATTTATTAATGGATCATATACAATAATGCTGACAGATGGAAAAGATGAGCTTTCTAGATGCAATGAAAGTAAACAATAAATGCAGACATCAGTGAACTGAATTATCATGAAGCAATATGAGTTGTATAACAATGTTAGCACTGGTGCCTGCCATGGTGCCTATGCCTTCAAATACTAACATTAAACCATTTGATGTGTGCGCAATGTTGGAACAATTCACATCAGCTGCCACCATGAACAAACTGCAATTGGATCTGGCTAGGAAGTTCCAAGTTTCAAGTAAAAATGTACGTAGATGAATCCAAGGCCCAGTATAACCTGTATGAATGGCAGTCCTCTATTTAATATACAAGATGCATATTTTTAAGCATCCAAAGAACTTTGTCCCATACTCTCGGGTTAAAGCCTTGTCTAACATTTCGTGCTGGGAATGTAAAGTAGGGCACCAGATACAGTAGTACAAATAACACTTTATTTACAGTTTCATGGCTTTCAGATTTCCTGTCTCCATAATCACTTCCTACTAATTTCCTTCTGTTTTGTTTGGAATGGGGGTCTTTTCAAAGAAAGTGTCCAAAAGAAACAAAGCCTTTGTAAGGTTACGATTAAATCATGGAGGTTTTTATACTTTTCTTTATTTCAGTATTTCCTAGTACCGGTATTCTGTGTCAGCGACATTTATGTTGTGTGTCAAATGAGTCTGTCTGTTTCAAACAGTATCGTGATTGAAAGACTGCAAATAGGCAAATAAGAGAAGGCCAGATCCTCAGCTGATATATACTGGCACAGCTCCATTGATTAACACTAGTTGAGGACATGGATCACCCAATTTTTTTTTAAGAAAAGCTAAACTAAGCACTTGTCTTAAGAATGCCAACAATTTTTTGCTTTGGACCATACTACTTCGATGCTAAAGCATCAATAGTTGGACAACATTCAGAAGTAATATTTTATTTAATATCTGTGCCTTTAAAATTAAAAACTAGACAAATGTAATGATTGGTTTTGAATGGCGGCTGATGTTTGTGCTTTGATCTAAAATCCAGATACAAACAATGGTCTATAATTTCAAGAGTGTGTAGTGACTGTAAGGCCCCAACTAGAAACAACTTAGCTCAGTTCTTTAGAAAATCAGGTCTCTTTTAGTAATGTAAAGTTTGATACCTGACAATGGAGGAGCCTGAAAGCATTAGCCACTTTGAAAAATATGTCATCAAAATTTTAATGCAAAGGCAAAATATTGCCTCTGAGCCCCTGCCCTTCCTTCCTGTTTCATCCTGGGTCTTTCCATGCCTGCATGACCAAAATCAAATTAAGCAAATTTCGAAAAGGTTTATATATTTTAGAAAAAACAAAATGTTCTTTCTAGAGAACTTCTGCCTGCCATCTTTTAATTCCATCAGAAGCCCACCCCAGTATATTGCAGGAAAGGTGCCTGGCTTAGCAGGGCCTTTCAGCCTTTTCCTCTATAATGTTATAGCTGCCATTGCTGTGCTGCAACATAAGATCATACAAAGGCTTTATTTCACCAGTGCTCCTTGTTCCTAACTTGCTACATTCAATTCTGTCTTGCAATTAGGAAATGGCTCTAGTTTCCCATTAGAACAAAGTATAGTCTTCATTGACAACTATGGAAGTTTAAACTGGAGATAGAATAATGCAACAATAAAGTGAAAAAATCCCCCGCATCATGTGGTCTTATAGAAGATGACTGAGTCCTCAACAATTTTGAGTTACAGCTTTGTTGCGAGTTAGAGAGGAAGCTTTTGAACAAAGCACAGACTGACCAAGTAGCTTTCTCAAGTACTAATCTGCATATACACAGCACAAATACACATTGGGTTAGATATTTTTTTCCCCCTCACATCGCTTGGAAAACTGACTCTTTAGCTTATTTGGTTTTGGACCTAAATAATAAAACATAGGTAAAAAGGAGTATTTCTGTTATTGTATATAGTAGCACATGGAATAAATAGTTTAAGAAGTGAATACATCCTACAAGTGTCAGGTATAATAAATTAGAAAAAAAGACAAGTAGGAGGATATGACAGAGGTCTACAAAATGATGAATGGCAAAGAGAAAGTAAATAAAGATTTACTATTTACTATCTTTCACAAGAAGCATACTATAAAATTATTAGGTATCAGATTTGAAAAGAAAAGGAAGGTTTTTTTCACACAACATGTAGTTAATCATGTGGAAATCAACGCTGTATGAGAGTGCAGAGGCTGATAATTTAATAAGGTTCAAAAGGGGATTGGACAAAATTCATGAAGAACAGGTCCAGTAGGGAGCATGAAGCATGACAGTTAGGAGTGTAACCTCCAACTTAGGACTTCCTAGGCCCAAGAATACAGGAAGCTGTGGGGGAGAGGTGCAAAGGACAGATTTGGCTGGATCTGGCCTGCTTAAATATTCTTTTCCTTTCCATGCCCTGTACCACTGGGTTAGATGAAACTGTGCCAACCATGGCATTTTTTGTGTTCTTACCATACTAATGGTGTACTGTTTCACACTTCTTATTAGAAGTTTTGAATAATCAAACAGCCCAAATGAATTGGTGGTCTTTACCATGCATGCTTCACATGGAAGGACCTCTGAAAAATCCCTGCCAGAGACAGAAAATTCCTACTGACTTTTTGACATCACTCACTACATGCACTTTCCTAATGGACCTCTTAGCATTTCTTGGATAGAAAGAATTTTTTTTTTTTTTTTTATCAGAATGCTGCTTTACTAGAAACTAGTTTCATTATGAAATGAGCTGTGCACTTCAGATTGCAGCATGTAAAAGGAAACATCTAACAGTTCATTTTTTCAAACATGTCTACTATTTTAGGTGCTATTCTTAGGCAGTGATCCCCAGAGGTGCTGGGAACCTGCCATTCCCATTTACAATTATAGCGCCCAATGATGCTGAAAATCAGGCCACTGATGTTTCAAATTGAAAATCCCAAAACAGAAGCTCACAGAATTGGATTCTGTTTTTTAAACATTTTGGTCCCAACATCTCTGACCTCAGCTTTGCATTTCACTTGTAAAACTGAGCATTATACAGAATGCCTCTCTTGGAGGAAAATTTTGAGACTTAAATAGTTTCCAAATTCTTGGATGAGAGACTTCATAAATGTATAAAATACTGAATGACAACATGTGATGGTATAAATAGCTGAAGTATTGGCTCCCTGCCCCCAAAACTTTCAAAGAACAAATCTACAAATCTTTATGACATTAATTACCCTGTATACATAGAGTTCTTCTGCATCAGTTAATGCTTCTGAAGGGACTATTTCTTTCAGTGCCATCAAAACTTGCATGCAGTTCAAGTAGCCATCTCCATCGGTATCCACCTGGAAAGATGTTCACAACATTAATGGTTAGTAAGATAACCAATATTTTTGAAGGAGCTTATATTTTCTAGAAATGTAATTTTAATTATATAGAAAATGAAAACAAGAGATTAACTATCTGAAGGAAAAGCCTCAAAACTCCCACTCCTCCTTTCTCCTACTATGAGACCCTGCATTATAGCCTTGCATTACTGGTTGTGGGGTAAATGGGACACTTTTTGGATTTCACTAGAATGGGTCATTTAATTTTCCAGATCCATCACTGCTAAGAAACATAAGATTCCTTCCCTCCTTGCCCTCACCCAGACATTTTTCAGTGAGGAATCTGACTTTAGCATTAGAAAACTTAAAGAATACAAAATTACTTGAATATCAGGAGCCACTAAAAGCAAACAAGATTTTCACAGAAGTCCATGACTTGGCAGCATGAAGAATCAAAGGGTGCCTATACATGAGCAGGGAGGCTGCACTGATGTGCTGTAATTCCAGTGCGTTAGAGCAGACAGATTAATCAAGTCTCTTGGAGAGTGGCAATTACTGTGCTACAGCAGCCTCCTGCATCTCATGTATCAGCATCCCTATGCTTCAAAATGGTGGTGGAGGCACTTTATCTCAACCTTATTCAATGAGCTTTAAATAAACTGCCCCCACTAACATTTTGAAGTGTGGGTATACTAATATGCAAGACATGCTGGGCACTTTAATTAGAGTGGCTCACAGAGGTAGTGCACTCTAAAAGAAGAGGAAGGAAGCTAATGGTCATCAAAACTGAAAAGAAGGGATAACCTGAAACTTGAGTACCTTGCTTCAATCAACTTCATATCCCTAGTCATAGAATTGTAGAAAGTTAGAGTTGGAAGGGATGCCAGGAGGTCAGGTAGTCCTACCCCCTGTTCAAAGCAGGACCAGCCCCAACAAGATCATACCAGACAAGGCTTTGTCTAGCCAGGTCTTAAGAAACTCCAAGGATGAAGATTCCACAACCTCTCTGGGTAACCTGTTTCAGTGCTTTACTACCCTCCTAAGCGAGGGATAGACATTCTAAAAGCTTGAGCCTGAACGGATTCTCTCTTTGCAGGTTAGTTTAAACTGCTTGGGCTGAATCGATTTGTAACTGCACAGACATCCCCTCTGGACTGAAAAAAGGCAGGCACCTGCCTGCAGTGGCTCAGGCTAGGAGCCAGGAGGCACCAGAGAAGCCCTCCATCCCTTCCATAGTGCTGAGCTGAGGGGGTGTGGCCAGGCCACAGCAGGTGCTCTGATTAGGGAAGGGTTCTCCCTCCCTTGCTGATCATCAAGGGGGCCAGCAGGGATTTACATACCATTTAGTTACACAGCAGGGAGCATTTATAAACCCATCAGCAAAACAAAAGATCTCTCATTAGTTCAAGCTCTTCTTAAACAACCATTCCCAAGGAAGGAATGGAGGGACATTACCAGCTACCTGTTGATTAGCTCCAAAAAGCCCTAAGCCAACACTGCCTTTGCCCCGTCTCCAGCAGCACAGACTGTAGCCACCATGTAGTATGCTAGCTAATGCTGAGAGGTGTCTGTGTAAGGCAGAGGGGAGGGGGGAATCCCTGCTTCAGCAGGGAGTGGTGAGGTGAAGGGAGGGGAGCAAGAAGCAGCCAGGCAGGCATCCTGTACCTTCAGTCTCTGCCGAAGATGCAGCCCCACCCAACAAAGCATCTGAGATGCTGGGGTACTCTGATTTAACATAAACCAGGAAGGAGTGCGAAAGTTTTTCCTAATCTCTAACCTAAACTTCCGTTGCTGCAACTTGAGGTCATTGGTCCTTGTCCTGTTATCTGCCACCACTGAAAACAGTTTAGCTCCACCCTCTTTGGAACCACCCTTCTGTAGTTGAAGGCTGCTGTTACATCCCCCATCAGTTTTCTTGTCTCCAGACCAAATAAACCCAGCTCCCTCTGCCTCTCCTCAGAAGTCCCATTTCCCAGCCCCCTAACCATTTTTACTGCCCACCACTAGACTTTCTCCAGTTCATCCTTTCTGCAGTGTAGGGGCCAAAACTGGACACAGTACTACAGGTGTGGCCTCACCAGTGCTGAATAGAAGAGAAGAATTACTTCCTTTGATCTGCTGGCAATGCTCTTACTAATATAGCCCAGTATGCTGTTAGCCTTCTTCACAACAAGGGCAAACTGCTGGCTTATATTCAGCTTATTGTCCACTGTAACCTCTAGGTTCTTTTATGAAGAGTTGCTGCTTAGCCAGTCAGTCCCCAGCCTGTACCCCAGCCTGTGCATGGGATTGTGTTGTCTTAAGTGTAAGACTTTGAACTCGTTCTTATTATTGAAACTCAAGAGATTTATTTTGGTCCAAACCTCCAATTTGTTGAGGTCTTTCTGAATCCTAGCCCTGCCCCTCAAGCATATCTACTACTTCCCCCAGCTTGGTGTCATCTGCAAACTTGCTGAGGGTGCACTCTATGCCATCTTCCAGGTCATTGAGGAAAATATTGATGCAAACCAGCCCCTAGGACCAACCCCGAGGGCACTCCACTTGATACCAGCTGTCAACTAGACACCGAGCCATTGGCTTTACCTTCTAAGACTGATGATATGGACAGTTTTCTGTCCACCTCACAGTCCATTCATCCAACCCATCCTTCCTTAGCTTGCTTGCAAGAAAAAGTTGTGGGAGACCATATCAAAAGCTTTACTAAAGTCAAGGTACATCACATCCACTGCTCTCCCCACATCCACCCTCAGATGCATTGCACTCAGCCCCATGGACTTCTAAGCAGCCAGCTTTTCTAAATAGTCTCTAACCTGTTCTTTCA